ATGTTTAAATGTACGGAAACATACTAATTTTATTAATTCACTTGGTTTGTGCTAAGAATGATGTTTCCAAATGATGTTCTGAATAATAGTAATCTTTTGATATATTCACAATGAATGAGTATTTAAAATAAAAACTCCCGAATTGTTTAAGGGGGAGTGTTATGTTGGCAACTCTCAAATACTGTAATATAATGTTAGAGTTGGCAACATCATAGTAAACAATTTAAGAACTAGGTTATTTCTTGTTACCTAAGTGATGTTTACTGTTATGTTTAACTACAGTTACGTGTGTAACAACAGTATCTTTATATTGTTATGCTTTACTATGGTTATAAGTTTGTGTGTATTTAAAGCGTACTTCTGTATCAAATTTCTGTGTCTTAATAAAGCAGGAGTAGAGTGAACCCCGATTTTTGCTTATCATTCGATCTACGGGATAAACGGAAATACAGAATGTGCACAGGGATCTCTCTTGTTGTGTGGAAACAGACATGACATGACGTTCTCCTGCAGTTATGTTAATTCAGCATTGGAAGCTCATGATTAGTAGAGTGTAATCACTGAAAGGGATAAACAGCTTATACACACAATTCAGCAGCATCATATGCTTTTTGCTGTGTTATCTGTGCTCTTCTGCCATTACATGTGAGTCAATTTGTTGATCAGTTAGTTTCAGATCGATATGTTGCTTGAATTCAGTATATTGAGGTAACTGTTATGGATTCTTCAGATTAATACAAATTATGCTGTATTGGACATTGCAGACAAGATATATTTCTGCGGTATACTTGGTATATTGATTATAAAAAGAAAGTTAAATAAAGGTTTGTTGAGTCTGCTTGTGGAGAAATAAAGTAGTACAGAGAATTTAATTAAAAGGATCGTGAAAGAATTGCTTACATCTCTTCATTGTGAATATCAGCAGAGAAACTGAGCGGTCATGAGATCAGAAAAGAAAGTGGTTTGGCACTGAGAAACTCCTTTTTGCTTTAGGTCTCCTTTGCATTAGAGGGAAAGAGTCAGCTGGAAATTGTGAAATATTCTTTAATAAAATTAGGCAATGTCATTAATATTATGAATTGGAATTCAGAGGTTTCCTGTAGTGGAATGACACAAGAGGAATTGCTTTTAATTGTACTTAAATTCAGTGCGGTTATGCCCCTCCCTCCATACGCATTTTCTTTACTGCCTGAATGAGCTGCATCATAACCGAAGCTAATTCTTGGTCACTCTGACCAAGTGATCTCTGATTACTGACACTTTTCTTTCCAAGGAACGCTTTGCTTCATTTTGCATAAAATGTACCATGCCTTCATCCCTCAATAACTTTGTATCAGCAGAACTCTACCTCATATGTTGCCACACGTTGGCTGTTGCTGCATCACCAGAACTGATCCTGCTCCATGGTCCTGGAGTATGTTTTCCATTTTGTGTCTTCACCATATAAAGTAGTGCACAGCGCACGAATGGATTTGCAAGTTGCAGTTGTCCTCAGAAAAGTGTGAAGGTATGCTAATGCTGTGTATTATGTATGCTTAAAGAAGGGAATATGGAGTGAAATCATCTGGCTCAGGATAAGAGCCAGTGTCTGGCTGTGAATGGTAGTGACCCTTGCGTTCCATAACATTTTGTTAATTCATTGAGTGGCTGAGCAACTAGTAGCTTCTCTGAAAAGGTGCAGCTGTGTGAAGTTGGTTAATATTTGACATTAGAACTTTTCGATTGAGTGTCTGGAACTGGCATTTGGAGTTGTCTCCATCCTGCTGAAGCAACCCAAATGTGTCTCCGATGGTCAACAAGTCTGGGTTTTCCTGTTACATACATTGGGGTAGTACAGTATGCTATGTATATATACCAGAGGGCAGTGACTTGCATGCAGCCACTCGGTTTATGAAACCCTATATTCCCAGCAGACTGGGGCAAATTTTGTCTTCTTCAAAGAAATTTATTTTTCCATTATGTGTTTCCATTTTAATTACTGGTACATACGAGTATGAATAAGTAACTCCAGGGAACTGAGTTAGTTATCATTAATGGAAGTTGTTATTTTTTGAGACCTCTCATCCCACTAGCTCAGAGACTGACTTAATGTATATAAATTTTATGACACATTGTGAGCACATGCTGTGCACATCTAAACGGGCGTTTGGTGTAGCTGATGCAGCAGAGGGACTGACATGCAGAGCCATGTGTAAAGGATAGATGAAGAGACAAATAAAAGTACAGACCTCAGGGAAATAAGAAATGTGAACGAGAAAGGAGATGGGCAGAGCAACGGTGAGACTCTGAACATGACATAGAAGCCTGTACATTAAGTGAAGGAGAAATAAGAAATGTTTCTGACTTATGCTTCATTCACCAAAATTCAGAATTTAAAATTGGTATTGTATATCACTCAGAATCAGTTGCTGGGTTTTTGCATTATGTTCATTGTCTGGTGTTTAGAAAACCAGAGAATGGATCATTTCGGGAACTGTGTCTGTTTCTGTCCTCTCTTGAGGGGTGGGGTCATAACTACTCTGCTGGGTCCATTAGAAAGAGCTCATTCTAGCAGGACAGTGGACAAAGTCCAAAAACAGTAGAGCGATTCCAGAAACCTTTATAATGTACAGGTATCCTACAAGTGTATGAGTGTTCTGGCGAGCGTGTGTTATATAGGGTTTATTTTACAATGCTCTTAGTATTTTAGGCTACATAGCATCGGTTGGAACGATTTTAAACAAAGCAGTGGTGACATTTTCCCTGTAGCAACTAAAGAATAACCCAGAAAGGGTCATTCGGTACAGCCGGTATCCCCACCAATAATCAACTGGAGCACTTGGATGTGAGTATAGAGAGCAACCACTGCACAAATATACTCGTCACATCATCAAATTGTTTCATGTCTGTAATGTTCATTGTTGAATTGGATGATAATGAAGTCTGGTTGCTTCATGCTGTATGTTGGTAATTAATTTTATATTGAGATAATGTGAACACAGTACAGTTGATACAAGGTCAGACTTACTGGGGCGCAGCATTTAATCAGCTCACATCTGCTTTTGGCACAGATATTACTCGTATAAACCGTGTGGAACAGAAGGATGTGGAGATTGTGTCCATTTCACTGTCAGTGTGCTCCAACTGTTTGCATGTCATGTCATATGCTAACATAGCCAAGATGGGCCAGAGAAGCATGGCTCTTCATCCTTGACATGGGGGGGGTTGAATGGCATTCACCCTTCAAGCAAATTAAGGGAAAAGGTAAAGTCCATGTGCTTAAGTAATTAAGCACCTTGCCATGAAAGCACAGAGCTGTGGAAGCATAGCCCCACCACTCCTCACTTCGGTGCTAGACAGACGAGTGGTCAGCTTCACATCCCCTGTCCCCTTTACCCCCATTGGAAGAGACCTCAGTACTAGTTGGATAGGAAGCTGGGTGGGTCCCAGGACTGGTGAAAACTCATACCCCCACCTGGAATCAAAATTTGAACTCTTGGCTGTCCAGTCCACTAGATTGCTTCTGGTTTTCACCAGCAAAGTTGTTCTTGGTTTCAGTCGCCATCAGGACATATGGTTGAAGTTTTCTTCTCTGCAAGCCCAGTCATGTGATTGGAATTACGCTCTCCTCCTCAATGAGAGGAGGCGTTGGTCTATCTGAGTAGGCGCCACAGTTGCTGCTCCATAATTTTTCACTTACCCTCACTCACACATTGACCGGGTAAGGGCACTTGTACTTCACGGGCACCGTCCACACTTTGTGAATTTACTACATTGAATGAAATTTATGCAAGGTATACACAGAATATCTTGTCAGTGCAGGCTTCAGCATCATAATAGGCCTTGACTTGTTTTCCCACTCCAAAGCAGCTCTTAAGTCACATGAAAAAATTGAATTCTCTTAGTGGGGGGTGGAGTCCAACTTGGTCCACTCTGCACGGTGGCCACTTTTGGTCTATTGAAGCCTGCCCCAGGTGATTATGATGATGGAGAATTTGGTGGAATGAATAGTGGCAGGGGAAACTGAAGTATTCGGAGAAAACCTGCCCCAGCGCCACTTTGTCCACCACATTGCCCACTTGACCAGACCTGGGATCGAACCTGGGCCACCGTGGTGGGAAGCCAGCGACTAACTGCTTTAGCTATGGCGCAGCCACATAGGTCACTTGAATGTGCCTACATAAATTTTAGATGTGGATTTCATTACTGGTTTTAGTAATTATGTTATCGACAATGCATGCGTCTATGCCTAAGGTATATGTACCGTGTGGACCAGAGGTTCACCGCTCAACAGAGAATGTAGTGAAACTGTTGTTTTAGAACTTTTCAAGTTACTGATCTGCATATTCAGTTAGACTCTAATTTCAGAGTATCCATACTAAAATGTAGATTGGAAATTAGATTTGTTTTTTTACAAAGTGGCTGTTGGTACACACACCAAGAAGATTGAGAATAGCTGTACTAATATGTGGCATAATGAGCCAGTATAAAGTAGTCTGAAATACAGAGTAACCTGAAGTTGCCCTTAAATATGAACTTTAAGTGCTTATAAACATATTCAGTGTGACAGCCATCACAGTGTAGGCACTCTTCAACTTGTTGAGCCAGTTTCCGAACATCCACTGAATATGTAGGTTACTGTCTTCTGGGTGTGATATTGTGGGCAGTCTGCCTGAAATGGAGGCAGCAGGTTCCCAAGAATATTCATACCAATCTCCCCTTGAATATAAGTGTGGAGCATTGCTTATTGTCATACTTTCATGTTTTGGTTTACTCATTGCATTTCTCATGACCACCAGTAACAGTCTGGTAAGGGCCTTCCATATCCTTTGCAACTTACCAATAACTCATATATCTGCTCAGCTGCAGCTCTGCCATTAAGTGAAGCAAACGACAACATTTTCATTACATGCAGTCAGTGAATTACTGTACACACTGCCATAAGGAACAGAGCCCTCTGTTATTTTAGGGCGTCAAAAATACATAAGGCAGCGGATGCTCTAATAAATAGCTTGCTGGCACTGCAGTGTGTTGAGCACGAACCCTTAACATGCCACAGGATATTTTATTAGTATTGGGTTCGTGGCAGAGTAAAGACACACACAGCTATAAACCTGACAACCCTTGGACAGTTTAAAAATGTAAATAAAGCTTTGAATTTGGTTCATTCTGACCCTCACACTAACACTGTATAAACAAAGCGTCAGTGAGCAATACTCACTAATTTAAAGGGAGATAAATGTTATTAATTTTAGGGGTTATGATCAGGCCAAAGGAGTGGGAATACAAAACACATTCCTTTGAGCCAATACTGTATTTTACTTTGAATATAAACTCCTTCCTGAGGGCAGGAGTTCAGTCAGCAGTCAGTTGTGTAAGTGGTCTGTTCGACTGTATGTCGCTTTAGTTAATAAATTATCCTATCTTCTACCAGACTGGACTTCGAGTTTTTCTCGATATGATTGGACTTCGCTCCACTCCACATCCTGTTCGTCACCTGCAATTTCCTGGCAATCCGGTAAAACACACAACTACCGGCGATCCACGTAATTTTCGGACATACTCGTAAGAGATCTAAATTGTTTGTATGGACGACAAGACTGCTCCGACCAGCTACCACTTCGTCTTGCACGTCGTACCATACAACAACACTTTTATTTTATAAATGGCAGTCAAATGAAAATGGGTCACCACGCATAACTCACATGATGCACAACTTAGTAACACTGGAGTTTGCTTACGGTACAAACATCTGATGGACACTCGGATAAGCACAGTGACAACGTGCTCTTGCACACTAGTCATTTGTTTATTGTCCTGGAAGTAAGGTAAGCGCTATGTGTGGTCGTCCAACGTCAGTAATAGAGGCAAGTAAAGAAGTACAGTGAAGTGTATTGCCCTTTTTGACTGCTGAAGGAGTTGGAGGACGAGAAATTTATAGTCACATGTCTGTTTTTTATGGCGAACACAGCATGCCACGTTTGCGTGTGCTGACTTGGCGTAGTAGATTCTGAGAGGGACATGTGTCACTGCAAGATGATGCTGGCCTAGGACAGGCTCACCATAACATCACTGCAGATGTTATTTTGCTGCATTGGATGGTCATATCCGGGCAAACCAACGGATCACTGTGGAAGAAATTAGTCTTTTGATGGGAATAAGTCACAGTTCCGTACATGCTATTGTGAGAAGAAATCTGCGTGCAGTGTGTTCCACATCAACTCACGGAGGAGCAGAAGACTCAGAGAATAGCTGGAACACTGGGTCACTTGCAATGATACCATGAGGAAGGGTATGCTTTTCTATCCCGCATTGCCACTGGGGACGAAACTTGGTGCCACCATTTTGAACCTGAGAGCAAACAGCACAGCCAACAGTGGAAACACGTGAATTCTCCCCCACCGAAGAAATCCAAAGCAGTACACACAAGTTCCAGTAAAGTGATGATGATGATGACCTTCTTTGACTGCAAGGGCCCTCTGCATGTCGAATTTCTCGAGCATGGTGCCACAGTCAGTGCACAGCCCTATGAAGACACTTTGAAGAAACTGAGACATGCCATAAAGTAAAAACGCCCTGGAATGCTATCGAACGGCGTTATCTTTCTTTACGATAATGCGCGCCCCCACACTGCCAACTCTGTGAGGAATACGCTACAGAGATTTGGATGGGAAGTGCTTCAACATCCCCCATACAGCCCAGATCTCCCCATGTGATTTTCACGTTTCTGGAGACCTGAAGAGACATTCATGGACATCTGTTTGCATCGGACGAAGATGTGTGTGGCTGGGTAAAGATGTGGTTCCGTAGACAGCCCACAAGCTTTTTCAAGGAAGGGATTGACTGTCTTATCTACCAGTGGGATAAATGTATTAACAGTTTTGGAGATTAGTTTTGAGTTAAGAAATGTTCTTTAATATTGTAACGTGTTTCATTACTGAATATGCCGTAGAGATCGTTAATTGGTTTATTGAACAATCTACAAATATTGGCTACAATTAATTATAACACAGTTGCGGGTTTCCACACTTTACAAACCCTACAACAAAATCTCTTAACACTATCTTCCAGAGTCTTCACGTATTAATAGCATGGGAGCTATACAAGTCTCGCTGAATTACACACTCCAAATATAACTGGTTATCACGAACTATCACTGATTCTCGCACACGCGTCTGTAGCTCGTAACTTGCGAACTGAGAACTCGTTGATAACACACTCGCTCGTAGGCTTGCTCGGAACTAGCTCGGAACTGTCTTCGGCGATGGCCACATTATAACTAACTCACAGCCGCTGTGCAGTTCCCTTATATAGCCACAGTGCTTGCCAGTTGTGTAATGAGTGCCACATCATCCTGTTACATCACCGCGCGTTGCGCGTTATGTTACCGTGCGAGGGGATAAGGGAGCGCTGACTCACCCGCCGCGTCACTGCTGGTGGGGGGTTTTCCGTTGCGCAACATATCACAATATGTTTTGGCTTCTGACCCGTTTTCATTTGACTGCCCCTGATACAATGCTGACAGTATTGTGACTATGTATCACAGGATTAGTACGGTGATTGATGAATTGAAAGGAAGTGGCCATGGCCTAACTGCGGTATTATCCTGATATTTGGGTGGAGGGACTAAGGAAATCCAGAGGGTGTTATGCTGTGTATGTTGTTACTGAGTGTGTACACCTGTTGCTGATAGTGCTCTCCAGCCACATGCTGTCTCTTATGAATACATTCGACTTTTCGTCAAGTGTATATTTCGCACAAATAATATGTTATCGAAAACTCTTCCTTTTGCTTTATACACAAGTCCTCTGTTAGTACAGGCTTTACAGAGCAGATCATTCCTAACTTACAGATCTTATGCTACAACGACAGCGTAGTCATTTGAACGGTCATAAGCTTGACCACCGCCAAGTTTAAGCCTCTTATATTTTCCGTGTCCTGCTTCACCTTGTCCTAGAGCGCGAATGTGATCATTATCATGATTTTGTATGACTTCTGCTCGTCGTCTGCACAATTTTGTTGTATAAATGTATACATACGGAAAGCTGAAAGCCGTGTGCAAGTCGCGGAATGGAGTGCACATTGGAAAATTTCCAGTGATGGGCAAAACCTTGTTTTGCATGCACTGCAATTTTAGGAGGTAGGTGTGTGCCGCTAATTCCCAGGCGGGACAAGCGTAAGTCAATACTGATCTTATCAGTGCCTTACAGATGAATAGTTTAATGTTTTCGTTTAAACGCTGACTTTTGAATAGGGAGTAGATAGTAATAAATGTTCTGAAAGCCTTGGCTTCAATCATTTCTATGTGAAGTCTCCACGTAATCCTCCTATCAAAGATTATGCCCAGGTATTTTACATGATTGACGAAGGGGATATTCTGCCCATTTAGTGTGAAATGAATATGAGGGGGGCTAAATCTATGAGAGAAGTAGATTGCCTGCATTTTATCTTCATTCATTTTATGTTTATGACTACGTTGTCGTAGCATAAGATCTGTAAGTTAGGAATTATGTGCTCTGTAAATCCTGTACTGACGGAGGTCTTGTGTGTAAAGGAAAAGGAAGAGTTTTCGATAACATATTATACCTGCAAAATATACACTTGATGAAAGGTCGAATGTATTCATAAGAGACAGACTCATCTTCTTGTCAGAGCCATATGAATCCAGTGCACACCACCCCATCCTATGTCTCTTGAAGATCCATTCAAATATTGTCTTCCCACCAATGCCTAGGTCTTCCTATTGATCTCATTCATTCTGGCTTTCTCAGCAAATCCTATATGCATTCCTCTTCTCCCCAATGCCTGCTATATGAGCTGCCCATCTCATCCTCCTTGACTTTATCATTCTAAATACTTCGAAAAGGATACAAGTTATGAAGCTCCTCATTTTGCAGTTTTATCCAACCTCCTGTCATTTCATGTCTCTTTGGTCCAAATGATCTCCTCAACACCCTGTTTTCAAACACCCTCATTCTATCTTCCTCACTTAGTGTCAGAGACACTTGAGCTATGGCATGGCCACATAAGTCACTTGAATGTGCTTGCATAAAGTTTAGATGTGGATTTTATTACTGGTTTTAGTAATTATGTTGTGGACAAAGCATGCGTCTATGCCCAAAGTGCATGTACCGTGTGGACCAGAGGTTCACCGCTTAACAGAGAATGTAGTGAAACTGGTGTATTAGAACTTTTCAAGTTAATAGTCTGCATATTCAGTTAAACTGTAATTTCAGAGTATCCATACTAAAATGTAGATTGGAAATTAGATTTGTTTTTTCTGTGGTGGGACTTGTTTTTTTCTTTACGAAATGGATGTTGGTACATACTAAAAAGATTGAGAATAGCTGTACTAATATGTGGCATAATGAGCCTGTATAAAGTAGTCTGATATACAAAGTAACCTGAAGTTGCCCTTAAATATGAACTTTAACTGCTTATATGCAAATTCAATGTGACAGCCATCACACTGAAGGGACACTTCAACTTGTTGAGCCAGTTTCTGACAATCCACTGAATATGTAGATTACTGTCTTCTGGGTGTGATCTTGTGGGTAGTCTGCCTGAAATGGAGGCAGCAGGTTCCCTAGAATATCCATACCTATCCACCAAAGTTCAGCAACATATCACAGAGGGTCATAATCTTGATATTCACTGCCGTAAGAACCTCAAATCTCACTTCATGCTATTATCTTCTGGGCTACTTTATACTGGGAGATAATGCACATAAGATAACCTGCGTTTCATTGTATTGAATTTTCTGTTTCATGCAGCCCCAACACCCACCGCACTGCATCACTCGATGGTGGTCCAGACGTCGTCCAGACTCTAGAAGAAACTGGGAGTGTGGAAGGTGGTTATGGCTGTGAGCAGTTTCTGTTTCATGAAGCCCCAGCACCCACCGCACTGCATCACTTGATGGTGATCCAGGTGTCGTCAAGACTCTAGAAGAAACTGGGACTGTGGAAGGTGGTTATTTCTGTGAGCGTTTTCTGTTTCATGAAGCCCCAACACCCACCACACTGCATCACTCGATGGTGGTCCAGAAGTCGGCAAGACTCCAGAAGAAACTGGGAGTGGGGAAGGTGGTTATGGCTGTGAGCAGTTTCTGTTTCATGAAGCCCCAATACCCACCACACTGCATCACTCAATGGTGGTCCAGACGTCATGAAGTCTCTAGAAGAAACTGGGAATGTGGAAGGTGGGTATGAATGTGAGCATTTTGTTTGTTTAATTTTATTTTTCTCATTAATGGTGTGCAGGGTATAAACCTACATAACAAACAGTCTTTAAAACAACTTTTTGAATATATTTATTTTTAAAAAGAGAAACGAGAGAAAACCGCAGGTAACATGTACAGGGGATTCCGCAGTGGAACTGACCAACTTTGCCAGCAATTTCGGGAGCATATTCTAAGCAAGAAATCTTATGTAAACCATGGGTTGATTTGGCTTCATTATCGCAATATGAACGGAATGAATATTCCTCTTAATTATGGTATTGTTATTATTATTATTATTTATTACACGAATGATTAATTTCTTGCTGAGTAATGTTGCCAAAGAATACAGTACATGTAAACCATGTCAAGTTGTTACTTTTGCATGTTGTATTGAGCGCATTTTTCAGCTGTAACTGGGAACGATATTAAAGCAAATTCAAGGAAGCCTAATGAAAGTGATGCTCCCAGTGTGGGTGCTTAATAGGAACTGGATCCCAAAATCGTTTCTGCTTCTACCAGATTCCAGAGTCGGTTCTTTCAGATCACTGAACTACTCTTCATAGAAGTGTCAGTCTAATAATGTTCTCCTTGTGTTGAAAGAAGAGGCAAAGTTGTCACTGGACTTAATGAAGCAGCATGCTGTGAAGACATATGGGGGAGTGGAGATATAGCTCCATAGTTTTTTACCTTGCCAGTAGATGGAGTTGAGTGGTCAGCTTCATGCTCTGGCTCCTTTACCCCTGGAGAAAGAGCCTTCAGTACCCTTTAAATAGGAGGCTGTGTGGGCCCTTGATGAGGTTATTAAAGATGAAGAGAACAAGGAAGAATGCGTAAACAGAAAGGATTATTGGTTGCTGAAAGGAATTGCTGTGAAAGTGATAGCAAAATCTCTGGGTGACATATACTGCAGTAAGAAAGGGGTTGTGACTGGAGTGCCAGATAAGTGTGTAGCTACTGTATCCATGTTAGTTAGTGGACACAAACTGAAACCAGACAAAGAACATCTTGAAACAGTGATACCAGCAATAGGATGACCTGTGCGAGATGTAAACGGTGCTTATCGTGGTTGCAGTGCCATGCTTAGGGAACTGGATCAGAAGAAATTGTGTGAACATTGAAATACCCTCAGGTCCTTTGAAGGGCAGAATAGTTGACAGAGTGGAATATGGAGATGTCTGTAAATTACATGATGTAGATGTGTGAATAGGACATAACATTAACGTCACATATTCACAGGTTTAGAGGGTTGAGCCAGTAAGAAGTAATAAGAACAAAGAATATATATTTAGCTACAGTACTCTTTGCAGTGAGATATTAATTCTGTAATCCAGTTAATAAGCCATCATTTTAATATAACTGGTGTATTATAAAGTGTTACCAATGAGAAGTTTAACAATTCTTGTAATTACGAGTAATTTATGGATTGAATATTGATGTGAGTTGTGCAAAAGTGCAATATTAAATTTTCACATGGTTTGTTTGAATAATTACCCATTCACTGTCATTAAACTTGCAAATGATGATAAGAAGTAACAGCACTTACTGTAATGTACTGCAGAAGATTAGGCTAGTTTTTATAAGCAAACTAACAAAGCTGGTTTTGGCTTACAGACCATTCAGCCATCAGAAGCATTGCCATAATCCCTGCACTTTTAGAGGGACAAAACAAATGGAAAATTTCATTTAATACATTTGGGACCATTGAAATAAATCACATAAGACAACAGAAATGAATAGATTCAAGTGGATACTTTGTAACCAACATATAGCAGCATAGTATGTAAATATGTCTGTGGATTACAACACCTTTATACTTTCAATAAATGATAGAATAAAATTGTCGATAGATCAGCTTGGCTTCCTTTACGACTGCCGTCAGGTATTTATAAACAATAAACTGCATCCATGTTCATTAGTAACCTGCATTACACAATGGATCCATTGCTAACAATCTTTATCATATTCAAAGTTTTACATAAGTGTACGATGTTTAAATAAACCAAAATACTTGTTGAACATTAGTAAATCTCACTAATTTAATTTTTAATTTTTACTAAAATTATCTTATTATGTATAAGTTTTGCGTGTGTGTGTGTGTGGGTGGGGGGCGGGATTTGGTGATAGTATGTTACACACTTTTTCCTTATGGGGATATGGGTGTGGTCTGAGTGTATGATCTTGGTATCAGTGGTCACTGATGTGTTTTAATGGATGAAATAGGGATGTTTCGAATTTGGTCCTTTTATGTAGATATTGATATTATGCAGGTATACGTTGTTGATGGCCATGTGTCACGTTTTTATACGCTAAGGTTTTAGCATGGTGGAGTTTGTTTCTGGTTCTTTTTGTTGAGGTATGACTCGGTTTTGATGTTGTGATGGTCATGCTATTGAGAATGAACACTTTAGTACTGTAATGAACTAAACTGATTTATCAGCAGACATATTTACTTATCAGCGACATACACAACAGGATGCCAAACATGGGAATGAATATAGCAGCATGTCATAAATGAGTCCATCAGAACATGAATCTTCTGGGTTCAAGGACTATTTTCGAGAATTGTGAACTAGAACATTTCCGATCAAAGTTGAACACTGAAAGAATATGTTTATGTATATTCTATAAGGAAGCTAAAACAAGCAGTTCACAAGACATGACATTTTATCATTTTTAACTTCCACTTTTTCTGTCTTTCCTCAACTTATACTTTTCTATATATTCATATCTGTACACCCACATGCAAAAGACTTTTGTGACTCTACTGTTTAATTTATTATGAACAAAAGAATATTTCACAAGGGTACATACATGTAGTTTTCCCCACTCTTTTTGACAGACAGCTTTGAGAACTTACGTTTCACAAAACAACAGTTAATCATAAATTTAGATAAATTACATCCACATAATCAAATTCTTGCTTTACAATGCAGTTTTATCTGTATGTCATAAAATTCAAATTTCAAAGACAGTTGTTCAGGAAAAATATTTTTTTTTTTAAACCAAATGGGTATGATGAGCGGACGAGGGATACCACATAATGACAATCTATGAGCTATATAAATCAGCTACTGTTGTTGCAATAGTCATATAAGTTGTTAAGCTGTATATACAGATCATATGGAGGTGGTGTGAAGTATACAAAAAAACTTTGATGGATTGAGCCACTTGGAAAACTGAGAAGGTGGGTGCAACCGGCTTAAGATCATGCCTAATGTTGGAATGTAGTGTTATCAGCAGGACCCGGATTTTGATGACCTGAAAATATTTACAAAATGACCGAAAAAATCCAGAAAATGGCCTAAAGGAGAAAGAGAAAGAACACTTCGCTTCCATGTTATTCACATTTCAGAAAACATATTGTCGCATGTTGGGCGTATAACGCGACAAATAACTTCACGCCGTATTTGATATAGCGAATTTTATTTCACATTCGCACTTACAATCACACAATTGACAATTTTAGAACTACTGCTATCTGAAGTATCACAAATACTACACTTTAAATGCCACGTTACAACTGACTGGTTGCTGGCTAACTCAGAACTAACTCGGAGGTAGCTCGAGGACTGACTGTGAATAGCCTTCGCTGCTCCTCATGTAGCCTCGATCGGACAATACAGAAAACGGCCACGTAGTAAGCACCCTTGTTGCCTGGCGCTGTGTTGCTAGTAACGCTAGCGGTAGTAACCGCTGTTACTACCGTCGTCTCTCGCAATCCTGTTTACCCGCGCTGCCTAGCAACCTGCGGTACCCTTGGTGACGTCATCGCTGTTGACTCGCTTTGCATAGCGACCAGGATGCTAGGACTCGGCTCACTTCGGCTTCGCCCGGCGAATCCCAGCTGGCGGGGTGGAGGGGCGTCATCCATAGCTCAACATGTCACACTGCTCCCTCCTTAAGGCTGTTCGTCTCGAATAGCCTAACGGTGCACCCCCGTTCTTTTTCCGTCCNGGTCCAATCCTTCATCAGGTCTTTCGTTGGAAATTTCTTACATCGACGTAACAGCTCTTGATGCGTTGTTTGCACTCGCTGACGTCGTCGTTCCTCCTGGACTTCTAGCCGCTGGCTGGTACGAGACCTTGGTGCCAAGTCCTTTCTCCGGTATCCGAAGGTTCCCTGGGGAGTTTCCTTCTTGAAGTCATTTCTCCAACATCGTGCCACTGTCGCGCGACGGGATATCTTCCTGCAGATGGCAAGCCAACTTTATCCGGGACGCATGATCTCCTCGGGTCCAAGATTTCCTGAAGATGTTTCTCCGGCGCCATGACACTCTTGCATGGCGGGACACCTTCCTACAGGCGACGGCCAATTTATTCTGGGGTCCGCAATTTTCCCGTGCCGGATTTTCCACATTTCGTCGATGTCGGTCCCGACGACTTTTCTTCTTCGGTTCTCCGACCGGCATTGCTTCTGCGTCGTACGGGTACCTCTGATAGTTCTGTCGCCTCAGGTTTCCTGTGCACTGAGGCCGGCTCTTCTTCTAGACGTGTCTCCATTTCTTGGCAGGCCATCGTCTCTACGACCGGTATTGCAATGGGGACCTCTTCTTGTTGTGCCGCCGTTGCTGGGGTTGCTCTCGTCTCCGCGGAAGTCTTTCCTCGCCAGGCGGCCATCTCTTCTCGCCAGGCTTTCGAGTCGGCATCCGCATTTTCTTGGTAGGCGTCTAATTTGGCCAGGAAATCTCTGTCTTTTTTTCGGTTGGCTTCCATTCTGTCTTCCATCCGCACTCGGTCGGCATCTGCTTTCGACAGCATTTCGATTAGTAGTTGAAAACCTTGCTCCATTTTGTAGCAGTAAGATACTTGATGCACAATAATCCAATTATTTGTCAGGCGTGTTTAAGTTCGTAAAAATTCTGACACCAAATTGTCGCGTGTCTTGAGATCATATCCCGTTGGTCACGTGTGTAAGTCCAAATCCCACTTCTGACACCAGTTGTCACGTGTCTTGAGTTCGAATCTCGTTGGTCACGTGTGTAAGTCCAAATCCCACTTCTGACACCAGTTGTTGCGTGTTGGGCGTATAACGCGACAAATAACTTCACGCCGTATTTGATATAGCGAATTTTGTTTCACATTCGCACTTACAATCACACAATTGACAATTTTAGAACTACTGCTATCTGCAGTATCACAAATACTACATTTTAAATGCCACGTTACAACTGACTGGTTGCTGGCTAACTCAGAACTAACTCGGAGGTAGCTCGAGGACTGACTGTGAATAGCCTTCGCTGCTCCTCATGTAGCCTCGATCGGACAATACAGAAAACGGCCACGTAGTAAGCACCCTTGTTGCCTGGCGCTGTGTTGCTAGCAACGCCAGCGGTAGTAACCGCTGTTACTACCGTCGTCTCTCGCAATCCTGTTTACCCGCGGTACCCTTGGTGACGTCATCGCTGTTGACTCGCTTTGCATAGCGACCAGGATGCTAGGACTCGGCTCACTTCGGCTTCGCCCGGCTCATCCCGGCTGGCGGGGGGGGAGGGCCGTCATCCATAGCTCAACATGTCACAATATGAAGAAAATTAACCTAAAATGGGTAAAAATGACAAGAAATACCCTTAAACGTCCAGAAAATTACCCCCAAAATGAAAAAATGACCTTAAACCTAAAATGTCAAAAAATGACAAAAAAATACCTATAAAATTTACATTTCTGTGACCAGCAGCACATATCCGAGATTTATATATTTAAAATTCAGGTAATTTTAC